TGATCTGGACAAGGTCAGTCAACGTTGCAGTTCCATCGTTATCTTGGTCTATTATCAGAAATCTAACTTTTAATAGGGAAATCCGCACAAAAGATTTTTGAAGAGTCTGGGTTTTCTTACTTTCTTTGTTTTAGGAGCTTTTAAACGTTTATGCAGTGATTGCTCTATTCTTTCTTATTTTTTGAGGAATGCTTATTGTTCCTTTTTCAGTTTTGATATGTTCTTTTTACATTCCTGATGTACTTGAGCAGTTAACTTCTAAAAATTTTCTTCATAACTTAAGGAAAGAGGAAAGGAAAGGAATAGAGATATCCAAGTTTAAGCTTCGTTTACTTCGCAGAAAATGAATTATTTGTCGGATATCTTCCTCAAAATATCGCTAAAATCACTTGAAATAATTAGTTAATGGAAAAATATTTTCATTATTGTCAAGAGTATATATCTAAACATTTTCATGGACAATGAATATATTTTCCCTTCATTCATTTTGTAAGCGATACAAGTAATTATTTTGAAGAAAACTTTTCCTAAATCATTCGTTTTCCGCGAAACTATCACAATCTTAATATAAGAAAATTTTCAGACTTGGAATCAATTTATATCACTTCGCCATTAAATGAATGATTGTATCAAGTTTACGTGTCATGTTGGATCCGTGTTCTTGAGATTATTCTAGATCATCTGATGGACCCCAACTTGCGTATCTGGAGATGCATAGGTATCGGGCTGTGGTTTTAGCAATAAGAAAGGAAATTGTGAAAGTAGGTTACAATCTCACATTTGAAGGATAATGTTCACATTCTTACCGAAAAGGACAAGCAACTTCTCTTTTTCCCTACTCTTCTCTACTTAAGAAGGACTTGAATTTCTTTTTTTTTTAAATGTTTTTGTTCGTGCAGCATGAAGATAAGTTACGTCTCTAACATGTGTTAACAAACATTATCATGAGAGAGGGTGTATGAAGGTAAAATTCAGGTTCAGTTAAAGAACAAAATCAGGACATGCCACATTGGTACATGGAAATTGACCTGGGAAGATGCAGATATGAAGTAGAGTTGGAGAAAGCACAATATACACGAGAAGACCAATCTTCGATTAGACAGTGAAGGGGATAAGCACTAGATCTGCAGATAACAATTTTTCTATCCGCTGTCAATGTAGCAACTACGAGTGGATTGTCAGGGAAATGTGACTATTGACTGTTAATGTGTTTGACTTGTGTGCCGCACATGTTTTTCCATCAGCTTCTTTTGCAATTTGTCCTCATTTTTCCCATTATGGTTAGTGGTTCCTCCTCTCAGCATCTAAATTGATAAAGATACTGCATACGTAAGCAAAAGAAGTCAGGTTTTCCCTTGACCATGAATATACATGAAGGGCCAGCTCGGACAACTGCTGCTCCTCGGCCTAACCTGGCCCGACCTTATCAGCTAGTTGAAGTATATTTTGGAGTATCAATGTATTTCTGCCAGTGAAGTGTGACCTCATGGGACTGAGGCACTACTTTTTGAAGGACAGTACTAATTATCTTCCTACTTGTAAGAAATCATTTCAGAAGGTTACCTCTTGAAAATGTGGTTATGGGCTTCATCATTGTGAATTTCGCAGTCTTTATGCTGCGGCAATTCGCCGATCGCAGTAAGATTTCCGGGAAACCTATGTGGCTAACGAGGCCAAGCGAAAGGAAGGTGAAGGAAGATCAGACCACACCCGAACATGATAATTCAGATAATTCGGTTTTTCATCATTCAATCCAGCAGCGATCTTACTTTAATCAAATCGAGTTGCTGATTCTTTGGAGTAGATAGCATTGGACAACATTGGGTGCTGGTGTCGGCAAGCGCTAATAAACTTCTATGTTCAGGAGTATCACCTACAGCCAAATGCTACGCAACTTCTTCGTGGCCATGTATCAGGGTGCAGTGCACAAAATATGCTTACCGATGTTGCTTGATGTGCGTGGTTCATGAGCTGATACCATCTTCTATATTTCTTTTCCAGTTAACCATGCGCTTTTCTGTTCCACTTGATTGGTAGATTGGGGAGTTCTTCGGATTGGAATTCCTGCTGCAGAGCTGTATCTGGTTGGGAAAGTTGGTTCGGTTTTCCATATGTCATGCCACGCTTTCATGGATTTTCAATCGAAGGTAAACCGATTGTTCAGAAACAGTTTGAACACTTACTATGACCCGCCATTTACATATCTTGATTTCCACTTCAATATATGCAGGCTCAAGGAATGTCTGGCATGGACCCTTCAAGAAACCCAGGAGTGGTACATTAAATCTATGGATGAGGAAAATTTATTGACGATATGAATGATAATTTGTTGAAATCCGATAACCAAGCTCAAGCTCAAGCTCAAGCTCAAGCTCAAGCTCATTCGAGTTGATCTTTATCCCATCTCTTGCTCAGTAATAATGATCTCTCGCTGAATCGAATTTCAATCACCCTTGGGGAATTTTTCTGGTTGCGACAGAAATATGCAAGATAATTCATGTGCTCTTCTACTCGATACATTTTTACATGATCAACTATATGTTTTTGCTGAGTACATACTTCAGGCTTTCCATATGCTGAGGATAAAATCTTGGTCACGAGTTAACCCCTTGATCTGCAATGAATATGTATAAAACGCTCCAACATGGTGCTCAAGCGAAGACATTGGACAAGAGTCGCCTAACGTATGCAATCATTTCGTCAGAGGTTGCGAACCACATTCGTCTCTCACTGACTAATCATGCAATGGACATGTCTCAACCATTCAAATATCAAGTACTTATAAGCTGAAGGTCATTTCATGGAGATGACACGTGGTTCGGACATCAAACTTTCATATCGCAGCATGCTCTCTCTCTTCCTCTCTTCCTCAAAGACGTTGTGAAAATGAGCGGCGTCGCTTGTAAACCAGCACGACCCTATTACTTGGTCTGTGGAAACTTGTGAATCTGTCTTTCGGTATAAATACTCAAGACATGGTTTTATAAATTGTCAGTCAAGCAAGAGCTGCTCTTTTTGTTTGAAGGCAAAGAAAAATAGCCTTCTATGCGATACATGCAACGGGTAAAGAGACCATATACAGAACCTTGCATCTGCTGCATCCAATGAACTCCTCTCTTTTTTCTTACTGTTTGCGTTAATCGATCCGACATCCTACGGCACATGACGATTGAAACCTTCCGTGGATATCCATACCGCATTGGCAAATCCTCATGACTGTTAGAGATGTGTATGTACAGCTCTTTAGATATAACAACTAAATACTCGAGTTTAATATTATTCGTACTATGGTGACACTTAGCAGTACCAGGTTGTACATAGCTTTTATACCATGATGTTCCAAGCACGTGAAATCAGAGGAAAACCAGGACTAGGAAAATGACATGCTCTCAGTAAATCTCTCTCTCTCTCTCTCTCTCTCTCTCTCTCTCTCTCTCTCTCTCTCTCTCTCTCTCCTTGATCGCCAAATTAGGCATTAAGTGTGGATTATGCTGCAAGTGGTTGTGGATATGCTTCAGCACAAAAATAAAATGCTTTGGCCAAACTTTGTTCTCCTTAATTTTGCCTATACAGAAACCCATTTTGAAATGTTCCCAGAAAAGTCTTGCTTCCATCGAACCAATTGTATCTATACGTGAGGTTACACATGAATTAAGGCTCAAAATTCTCCCATTATCAGGGAAAATTGTCCAAAAAATCCTAAACATATTGTACTTTTGTCAATTCAGTCATAAACATTTCAATTTTGTCAATTGATTTCTAAACATTTTCACGTTTTGCCAATTGAGTCCATTTGGTCAATTTTGGCCGGAAATCGCTAACATGAATGCCATTCTACATGGTATGGCTGGTGCTGACGTGAACAATTTTTAATCATATTTTAATATTTTTTCGAATTTTTTATAATTTTTTCTTTTCTTTATTTGTTTTCCCTTTCTTCTTCCTTTTGTCGATGGCCAGCCACAGGCGATGGCTAAGCGGGCTGGCCTCACCTGGGCAAGGGCAAACACCGACAAGGCCGCCCTAGCCTAGGGCGAGATCCATCCACTCTCGGTCGCAACCTCCACCAAACAATAGAGTCATCCCTCGTGAGCTCAACCCTCCTCCTCCATGCTAGTTGAGCTCATGGCTGTTGATATCTCGATGAGCTCAACCGCCATGGCCAAGCCTCTATGTCTTGGCAAGCTTGGCGACTCCACCTCCGATCAACTTGCACAAGCAACTCATCGTCGAGCCTTCAAAAAAGCTGAGCCCCCTCGCTTAGGCGAGGGCGAGTGCTGGCAAGGCTCCCAGGGCAAGGCCAGCCTACCCAGCCATCTTCTGTGGCAATGGCCGATCAAAAGGAAGAAGAAAGGAAAAGAAAAAAAGGAAAAATTATTAAAAAAAATTAAAAATATTATTAAAAATAGTCCAAATCAGTGTCAATCATGCCAAAATTGGTCATATTGACTTAATTGGCAAAATTTAAAAAAGGTTTTTGACTCAATTGGTAAAATTGAAAGGTTTAGAATTGAATTAGCAAAAGTGCAATATGTTTATGACTTTTTAACAATTTTCCCCCATTATCATCCATCAAAATTAAATAGCAATCAATTACTTGAAAATTCCGTTTAAATTTTCAAGCTTCAAACATTAATGCTCTCATCGGATTACAAAATATAATTCTGTCAACTTTTATTGTTGCAATTAATTTTTTTTTTTTTTCAGATTTGACTTGACACATTGCCGGCCCTAAAATGAGTTTATTTGTGGGGGTAATTTTTTGTAGTACGATCCATCTTGATCATAACATTGGGAAAATTCCTAAATATACCTAAGAGCACAACGTTGACATCCACCCAAAGAAGAAGAAGATATTTTTTGGCGTTGGAGGATTAAAAATAAGCTCTAATAAAAAATATTTAAAAAAAAATCACTTATCTTATCACTTCTACTGGAAAAAAAAAAAGAAAAAGAAAAAGAAAAGAGAGCTCTCTTGCATTTACTCGCAAAACTCCATCAAAAAGACACAGCCTTTCTTGCTGCTTCGTCGACATCCTTGTTCTGGTCTCTCGTGCTCTCTTCTTTCCTTCCCCTGCATGACGCCGAAGAGAAGCCCACCCTCGATCGTTCAAGCCCCGTTCTCCTTCTCAAACGCTGAAATTTCGCTCCTTTCTTGAAGGGCCTTCGCCTCCGCCCGCTTTCTTGGCCACCCTTCTGGTCGTCGATCGGTTTTTCTTTACCCGGAAGAGGGAGGGGAGAAAATGAGGTGGGAGAGGGTGCCGTTGCCGCAAGCCCAGCAGCCGGAGCACGGCAGGGAAGAGGCGGGCGGCCCCGGGAAGAGGTGGGGCCACACCTGCAACGCCGTCAAAGGGGGGAGGTTCCTGTACGTGTTCGGTGGCTACGGCAGGGACAACTGCCAGACGAACCAAGTTCACGTCTTCGACACTGGTGGGTCTTCGAGTTTATCTTGTGGGGATTCCGGTTTTCCCTCAAAGTTTGCATTTTTATTTTCCTGAGAATGTCCTCGATTTAGGTTCGTATGCTGTGCTTGGTGCTGAGAGAAAGATTGGGTCTTTTCTTTTTTGTTATTTTTCTGTCTGATTTGGAGGTTCTGGGGTTTATTGGGTGCAACTCTGCTTGTTGGTTTTTTGCTTTTTTTTTTGGTTATAACTCGCTGGTGCCTTTTGTTTGTTGTTGGGTTTTCTTTTAATCAATGGCTTGGCTCTTGTATCGGCGATTTGTGGCTAGTTTGATGCATTGTATGGGTGAGATGGAAGAGAAATTTTCATGATGTTCTGTGTCCAGTAACTGTCATATATGACACTGCTATGACCAATTTTTTCCTATACTTTGTTCATTGTGAACAATTACTGGAGCTGTTTTTGACTTCATTTCTATTTGCATTTGGCTTATGTTTATATTTACTGCTGGAATTTCGTGAGGGATGGCTCTTGGTGTACTTCCAACTTCTGTGGCCTTCTAGTTTTTGAGTCATGATCTCGTGTTCCATTGGAACTTAGCTAGTGTGTCATGTGGAAGCTGTTGAACTATGAGAAGCGATCTCTTTTACCATAGTCTTAATTAATGACCTGGGGGGGAGAGAGAAAGAGATTAATCTGCTCTTGCTTGTCTTTGTATGTTGTGATTTTCTTTTTCTATTGATAATTAGTTTTATCTGACTCGCAGTGAAGCAAACATGGAGCCAACCCACGATAAAAGGCACGCCACCTGCTCCAAGGGACAGCCATAGCTGTACTAATGTTGGTGACAATTTGTTTGTGTTTGGTGGGACAGATGGGATGAGCCCTCTCAGGGATTTGCATATACTAGACACTTGTAAGTTACGTTTACCATTTCAATTTCTCCCTTCTGTGGCCATACAGTCTTGTCGCCTAATAATATGTGTATCTTTCCATTACACTTGCATTAGAGAAGTTGGGTTCTTTCTAATGTAATTTGCAAATCTGTTTTGTAGCTTCTCATACATGGATATCACCAAGTATTAGAGGGGAGGGACCAGAGGCAAGGGAGGGTCATAGTGCAGCACTTGTGGGTAAAAGACTGTTCATATTTGGTGGGTGTGGAAAATCTCTTGATGATGATGAAGAAGTATATTATAATGATCTCTTCATATTGAACACAGGTATCTATTTAAAAGTCAACATTTCTTCTTTGCCTCTAGTCCCTATTGACATCTATATGTGAAATTTCCCCGTGTGTGCATATGAGAGGTTTTGAATACTTGATTTTCCATCAGTGTGTCCTCCAACTTCATAAAGTACAATATCCGTAGCATGCATCATCAGTTAAAAGTGCTCGTTAAGTTTTTATTGTTTAGATTGCAGAGTTCAGGATTTTCTCTTATTTGGGTAGACAAACATGCTTGATCACGCATTTCCTTCTCATATCTGCAGAGACATTTGTATGGAAAAGGGCTATGACAACCGGTAACCCACCTTCAGCACGTGATAGCCATAGCTGCTCAACTTGGAAGAACAAAATGATTGTGATTGGTGGTGAAGATGGACGTGATTACTACTTGTCCGATGCCCATATTCTTGATGCAGGTTTACCATCTACTTTAGCCTTTATTAGCTCAAGTGAATAGTGTTTTTTTTTTTTTTTCTCTCCACGATTATTTTCTTTTTACTACTTTTTTGGCCTTGCTGTTGGATAGATACCCTGATGTGGAAGGAACTGAATACCACCGGCCACATGCTACCCCCCCGTGCTGGACATTCGACTGTTGCTTTTGGGAAGATTCTGTTTGTTTATGGGGGATTCACAGAGGCCCAAAAGCTATATGATGATCTGTATATGCTTGATGTTGGTAAGTACTTTTTGCTATGTATATGGTTTCTGAATGTCTGCCACCGAGATCATGCAGATATATATGTATTGGTTGAAATGTCCTCAAATGGCTAATTGTCACATTCTTATGGGCCAGTTTTCTATGAAGTCTGTGTTAGTTAATATATTTCTAGGCGATGCTTGGTTGTTGCAGTTATCAATCTAAAGTATATTTTCTTTTCTTTTGAGATGCAAGCGATACATTGGAGTGCTAGATGAGCTACTGTTTCAAGAATAGTTTTTCTTGTCCGGTCAATTTAATATCCAATGATCAGTTAACTTCGCTTAATCATTTCATTTTTTTTGGAAACTAAAGTTTGAGCTGATCATCTAAATGCTTCTTCTAATTTATTCCTATTCCTTGGAAAAGCAAGGGAAAGTAAGATAAGCATGCTTTTCGTTCCATCAAGCAAAACGCATGTCCTCATGTTGGCTAACTATTTTTCTTGACTGCTACCATGATTTTGCAGAATCTGCTATATGGTCCAAGGTCACTACTGCCGGAGCTGGACCTTCTGCCAGATTTTCTATGGCTGGGGACTGTCTAGATCCAGTAAGGAGTGGCATTCTTGTCTTTGTGGGTGGTTGCAATAGAAGTCTCGAGGCTCTTGACGATATGTATTACTTGCACACAGGTTCAAATTATATTTTATGGATATTCTTTTGGTAGTTTATTTCAGTTTTCAGAACTCAAGATATGTACTGAGTTGATTTCCTATTTCATTTCCAGGACTCACTAGGGAACAGGAGCCAAGGCTAGAGAAGCTATCCTTGAGGAAGAAATTGAAGCTGAAGTGCCAAGAACAAAATTTAACTCTAGGACATGATAAAGCTTTGGTGCAAGTTGGGGTGACCACAAGCACATTTCAACCTGTGCCACTATCGATCTATGGTCAGCCAGGTCAGGACCTGATTGATGTTTACTTCCATGTTCTTGAATGAGGGTTTACTGGTTGGAGAAAGAAATGGCTGTGGAGATAGATTATTTATTTCAATTCTATATTTGTTTAGGTAGACTAAATTCTGTTATATTTTTCCTTGTTACTCTTGGGTCTTCAATTTCGTATCCTCCCATAAATCATTCTTGTAGATGATTTATGAGATCGTATTAATGTTTTGGTTTGGGGGGCGGGGGATAGTAAATCTTTTGCACCTATGCATTTTACCCTGTGCCTTGGTTAAGGAGTGGCGACATGAATAGTGATATAATATCATATTTTGTTTCGGATAACATACTCTCATGCCTTTAGCTTGCGCAGTCTTTTTCCGTGGATGTTAATTTTTAGAATGTCATCTTAGTTTTGAGCTTCATTTTATCGCAATATTTGCGTACTTTGTGGCATACTGTCTGTGAAGTCGCATTTTACTTTATTTTCACATTTTTTTAGTATTGGCTTTAAGTGCTGAGATCTTAGTTGTGTTTATATAGAAATGATCTGGTTGCTACTGCTTCATCAACATATTCTTAGATATATATAGTGAGTGAAATGTTGATGACCATTGTACATGGTGAACACCCCATTTTTGGTCAATGGCCATTTTACAGTATCAATACCCTTAAGGTTCACCTTTGCATTCACTACAACATGGAAAGATGTTGGACACTTCCTACAACACCCTATTATTTATGTTTCTGATCAATGCAACACCGCAAATGATCTTGCAATTTCCACAACTCATCCAAGATTGAGGAGTCACTTCTTTGCTGCTTGTAATTCTGAATAAGCTATGAAACTGAGTTTTCAAAGGGATTGTCGAGCACCAATCATAATGGCGATATAGAATAGAACCACCATTAAGGAGAATAGAATACTTTCATGGAAGAATCCTAGCATTGCTTATCCATTTCCATACTCCCACCCCATTTAGACCCCTCCCCCACTTTGAGATTCATATTCTTTTCTTTGCTTGTCTTTTGCTATTATGGCTTGTCTCCAGATGTGATTATTGTCATTTAAAAGTCTCCAAAGCCATTTGCAGAGAGAGCATTGTTACAAAGGTCGGAGATCATACTCTTAAACCATCTCTAAATATCAACAAATTGACCAAACCCCGTCTCACCAGATGATATTTGCGTCTTTCATCTGTCCTGCCCCTCAAGAACTTCCTCTAAATATCATCTAATCTTTTCACAACAGATGCTAGGATTGGGAAGGGAGAAATAAAGTAAACTAGCAAGTTTGAGTGCTCTTTATAAGTGTGATTTTTCCTTCCTTGGAAAGATAATACTTTTCCATCCCACGATCCTCTTCTTGGCTTCTCTAATGATGGGATTCCACATCAATTTGTCTTGAAATTTTTCCCCTAGAGGTAGTTTCAAAAGTAGAGTTAGAACTAGTAGAATTACCATTGATATTCGTAGTTAGTGATATTTGTGAATTTGCTGGACATATTGGGCACGACTTTGCCGAAACTATGTTGAAAGGGGAGAGTCATACCTGATTTCATGGCTTTATCAGCACTACTTCAATCTAATTGTTTCATCTCTATATACCAAAAGGTCCGCCTCAAGGATAAGTTGCATGTCCACTAGCTTAGTTAAATTTAAATTTAACCACAATCATCTATCGAGCCCCAAAATATCCAGACCATGGGCATACAGATATAAATTCAGTTGCAGAATTAGGTTATAGACTACCAAAAAGATTATTTGACGAAAAGAATATCTAAAAATAGGTCATTGCTCGGTGTTAAAAAGAAATGCTTTGCTAGGATAATCTACAGCATGCCCTTTTGCAACTATGCTCTGCTTGCTAAGGATCTAATTGGTAACCTCTGATTTAAAATGAGAGAATGTGTGTTTGTGAGGGGATGAAACAAAAAAGCACTTCTTGTGAGCACTAAGTACCTTTTCTTAAGGAATCTAAGGTTGCATGCACTACTTGTCTAAAAGAAACATTAAAGGAAAATTTGTCAAATTTAAGTGTTTTTAACCTTATTTACGTATTTAAACAAGCTTTTGTTATTGAGATAATATAGTAAGAACTTGTATTGTGGGAACCTCAATATTTGGTCATTTTTTGAACCAAAGTACGGATTCATTGGGTACTCAAACTTGTTTGCTATCTTAGTTAAAAGCGTCAGCATATATTGCTAAGGTGTGGACATAAATTTGTGGTTGCAAATATGAAATCCAAGTTTACGAACATGGAAATAGAATAAGAATTTTGAAAAGCTTAGACAACAACTTGCACACATAATTCTACCATGTATAAAGATTATATGGATACATTAGGTTTCTTTAGATATGAATGTGTTACCTAGATCGGGGTTCACTATGAGTCATGTCATGGTAACGAGGATGAGGTATGTTGCCTGTCAAGAAAACCGTACGTAAGGAGTAGGTTAGTTGATTTGCGATTCAGGTTGTAGTTCATTTTGAAGTAGTTGGGGGAAAGTAACAATCTTCTTTAGTTGCATTTGCTTTAAATTTATTAGATGCAACATTGTTTAAACTGATCAAATAAAGTAAACTACTTCTGGCCCTACCGGTTTCTATAAACCTAAAAGCCTAAATTAAATCAAAGAATGTATACTACCAGGTTCATGTAATGTCTCTTAATTGAATGAGTATGAGGTGGGGTTGATCAGATTGCCAATTCTGGCAATCCGGAACATAAGAGTACGTAAATTAGAAACATCACGCCAATATCATGGTTGAGCAGGGCCATGGCCATTCCGGTAATGATATGAACCACTAACTTATTTGTTCAATTTTTTTTTACCAAAAATTCCTTCAAAACAAGGATTTTACTTATGATATAATATGAAGAATTTATCCTGAGATTTTTTTTCATTGAGAAATAATTTTTCTTAAGGCTCAAACTTTACATGAGAAAAGGGCGTCCCAATGCACAAGACTCCCCTGCACTGCATGGGTCTAGGGAGGGGTTCATTTATGCAGCCATACCCGTTATTTCCAGAGAGGCTATTTTTGTCACTCGAACATGTGACCTCAGGTCACCATGGAGTAACCTTTTACTGCTGCACTAAAGCTTACGCATTGGTTACCGTGATCTACATAACGTTTACATATTTACTTTTTTGGTCAAATCTATGTATTTATTTTAAGTAAATGGATGCGACCAAATTTTAGGTTTCTTTCCATGTAAATCTTTATTTAATAAACCGACAAAGTCACCATTTTCAATACACAATCAGGAAAGTTTCTTCAAAATTATTTAGAGAGACTTCCGTGTGACCATAGATTTTGTCAAGTAATTAAATGTACATGAAACAGAAGCCAAGTGCCTGTTTATATGTTTTCCCTTGCTATTATATATGGGTATAGATCTCTCACTGGAGTTTTCTTGATACAGTTATTTTAAATACCTTGTATGTGCCAAATGGATTTGCAATGGTGTACCATCGCCAAAACTCTAAGTCACTTTTACTTGAAATACTTTTTTACCTCGGAGAGGTTTTGATTGCTTGGATTGATAACTATGAGCACCTGCATTAGAGTCCACAGACTGTTGATTTCCCCCAACTTCTTCTAAACGTACCATGAACTGAATAGCAAATCAACTGACCATTTTCTTTACAGGCAGCGTACCTCATGCTCGTTACCATACCATGACTCATAGCAAATTACCATGTAGGCAACATTTTCATATCTGAAAGAACCTATTAGGGTACCACGATCTAGGTAACATCTACATATTTGCTGTTTTGGTTGAATCTACGTATTTACTCTAAGTAAATGAATTCTATCTATGTTTCTTTCCATGTAAATATTATTTTATGAACTGTCAAAATTGCCATATCGAATGCAAAATCAGGAAATTTCCTTCAATAATGTTCGTGAAGTAGAAGCCAAGTGCCTGTTTTACATGTTTTCACTTGCTATTGTAAATTGATACAGATATAGATCTCTCACTGGAGTTTTCACTTATCTAGAAATCATAGGATTATGGTTGCAATACTGTTTTTTTTAATTGCGTGTATGTGCCAGATCATTAGTATGGACTCTAATGCAGGTGCTCATAGTTATCACTCCTACCAATCAGGCAATGTCCAAGGTAAAAAAATATTTCAAGCGAGGGTGACTGAGAATTTGGGTGATCGATACACCATTGAAACTGTCATAGATGGAAAACCTCTCCGTGGAATTTTATTTTCCAATAAGCCTAGCACTCGCCCTGTACCTTTTTCAAGCTCCAGCAGGTGAGTCTTTTGTTTTCCATTTGGCTGATCGATTTAGTTAACAGATGTTGGTTTAGTTCTGATTCTCTATTCTTGTAGCAGGAAAAGAACTTATGGGGATTCAAGTACGGGTATGCCAAATGGTGATTATAATAGTGAGTCAAAGGCTTCTAGAAGTATCCAGCCGGAGTCAGCCGATGATGGGCAAGCTGATGATGGGCATGGAAAAGAAGCCTCTTCCCAGGAGCCCCATTCAGAACCTGCTGGTCCAGTTCCTGTTTCGAATGTAACACAACCTTCTGATGGCTCTGACCTGGACAAGGTCAGTCAACCTTGCAGTTCAAACGTACTCTTGAACCTTTATCACAAATCTAATTTATAATAGGCTTTTGACCAACAAAAAAACTTATAGTAGGCTGGAAATTCGCACAAAAGATTTTGGAGAGTGATTCTTTTTACTTTGTATGTTTTAGGAGCTTTTAAATGTTGATGCTTCAATTGCTCTAATCTGTCTTAGTTTTTGAGGAGCTCTTGTTGTTGTTTGTGGTTTTCACAATAAGAAAGGAACATGTGAAAATACGTTACAATCTCACATTTGAAGGATAATGTTCACATTCTCGAAAAGGACAAGCAAAAAAGCTTGTGGAAGCAGCTTGTTTTTATCCTATTCTTCTCTACTTAAAGGTTGGTTGTTGAGTAGATTTTGATACCAATAGCAAGTTGGACCAAATTTAGACACATTAGCAGTGGGCTGACCCCCAATTAAATATTGTAGACTTCCTGTATGTGACAATCAAGTTGGCATGTTAGCAAATTACAATGCCTTTATGCAATTCTGTTGTTGGAAGAGATGAACTCAGAATAGCGACGAACAAAAATTTGATCTACCAAACATGATCTTGCTAATTTATGGAGAATGTATGTGGTTTCGAGCTTTTTTTGGGTGTTCATAGTCATTATACTGTGATATTGCCCATTGGATTATTTTCCGTGTTCTGAATCCAAATATACGTCTTGTGCCTTATGGGATTATCGGCCTGCATAATTTGGTTGTCTTCCTCAGGTACCTGCAAAACAAGAATCGTCACTGCATGCTTCTATCAGTTCCAAAGATGATCCGATGGATGACACTCCAAATTTGAATGTGGAAGTTCCGAAAGAGAGTGCATCTCCATCAACCAAGGACTCTTACATAATCTCACAAATTAAAGGTATGAACTTGAGGATAAGAATCATCTATGTTGCTGATTTTGCTATCTTGCTCTTATCCAGCTTCAAGTTTCTACAGCTGATCAGAGCATGTTTTGATTGCGCACTTATGCTTGCTAAAAAATTGTTTCTTGCAGTAAATGACTCACAGGTCATAGATATTTTATTTAGCAAAAACTTCTGTGTATGCATGTCTACATAATATAGGAACGATGGTTGTCATTGTGTGTGTGTGTGTGTGTGTGTGTGTGTGTGTGTGTGTGTTAATTGGATTGTCTATTTAACTTATGCATTATCATTCGCGCACACATGTATTCGTTCTTGAATATGTCTCGATTGTTGGAATAACTATTCCATTTTCCATGATCTCGTGGTGAGGAGTTCCTCGTCTTTGGCTAATCAGTAAATTTTGTGAAAACTCTGGGGTACAAACTATGGAGTACCTTAGTTGTTATCCAGATAGACAGCTGCAGTGTGTTTTAGTTGCTTAATATCCTGTCATTGCTACATGGCTTCACATGTTTTTCATGTATCATGGAGTCAGAGGACCAAAATTGTGCATGTGTAAACCCACGAGTGGAGCATGTTCCGTGTTATACCTTTGTACATGCCTATGCATACAAGGATGCATATGCAAACACTTTTGACTGATGAAAATTATCTGGAATCCTGATGCTAAGAAAAGAAAGGAGCCCTCATTGAAATAGTGATTTTGCTTTGTTCAATTTGGGCATTTGGATATGATCTAATTTATGCTTACAAGCTAGTTGTTATATTTCCGATGGCAGATGAGAGGACATCAGGCCAAGATGAAAGAGGTGATTCGGCAAAATCAGTTTGAAACAGATTCTTGCACAATTCCTTTCGATCGGCTGGCCCTCTTCACATGTCCCCCGCGAAAGCCAATTGCGACTGTACATTCATCTAGTTGTCCCAGATGCATTTGACAGCTGACAGAGTCTTCAAGCTAACTATAGAGATCTAATCTACGTCTTGATCTTCGTTTTGCATCCTGATCGTCGCACGATTAGTTATTGTCAAATTTCTCTTCTCAAAATTTTATTCCTAGTCTTAGTAAGCATGTAGGGGCTTTTGTTGAAAGTGGCAATTCCGGGAAGAAACTCCACCATAGCTGAGGTATCAAAGTCTGCCGTGCTATTTGAAGTCCGGTTCATCCTATATCTCCTTATGCAGCAACTTCTTGAATTTGACATGTATGACCCCTTTTATTTGTCATGAGATGAGACATCAAAATATTTCTTGTCTATGAAAAAGTATTTCATCAGCCTGATGGATCCCGCGGCAGTAATGGTGTGGTGTAACTGATTAATGACCATTGTCCGCATACTGTGAATCTCGTCAAGCAAGATGCCATGGGTATTTTGCTCACTTTTGATTGGCTTGCTACACAACATGTCCCTGCCACGGGATGTGTAAAATGCACAAAATACGTTGTGGGTGTGGCCAATTAGAAGCATTGACGATTGTCTTGTTTATTAAAGTCGTTTGAGGTGGTCATAATAAGCTTCACAGAGAATATAAAGTAATCGGCAGTAACGAGTGTTACGAGGGATGATTTGTTGACGTGTGCTTACAAAGCATCAGAAAGAATGTTCCATTTAGCAATTCAGCAAACAAAAGTCTATGAGGACTAGAAGTAATATATTTTCCGTATCAGCTTTGCCAAGCCAAAGTCATTAAGGCCGTGCCGGCGATCGACAAACTGAGAATTTAGTTGCTTTGTTGGGCATGAGGCAACTCATGCATTAAAGTTCTAGAAGTCATGATTAGCTGGGTAAAATCCAGAAAATGAGTATAACTATATAATACATGGCTGCATAACTAAGGCAGCATCTACTTGAAGGCTAGACGTGATGATATTCAAAATTCATCCAACTTAAAGCGAAATTCCTGCTAATGATATTCAAAATTCATCCAACTTAAAGCGAAATTCCTGCTAAGTAATTTAGAAATCATTGGGGATCTGGCGCATCAATTTCCATTGCCACCACCTCCAAACAGGTAGCCCAAGGAAGATCCGCCACCAGGGGCGGCGTGGACCTTAGTTGAAGGCCGGTCCTGTACAAAGAAGGTCTATGGTTTCAGCAGTCTTGTGCAAGTAAAGAAACAGAAAAAAGGATTCAGATGCTATGAAAAATCTACAAACAGTGCACAGAGAGAAGATCAGAAGCCCTAAACAATTGGGAATCAATGCCTTAAGGGTGAAGATAGCTTCGCCGCTATTAGCGCTAATAAGGACAGAGCACCGCGACAAACCCGGCTAAAATCACAAAGACTATTAGGACAACCAAAGTAGACTAAATACTTTGGTTGGCTACCTTTTAAAGTAGACTAAATACTTAAGATACAAGCAATCACCCTCTAGTCAAGGCATTTCAACATTTGAAGTTTCTAGTTATTCATACACTGAAAAGTTTCCACCGATCTTGATCGACTGCTATTCCAATGAATGAAGCAATCACCTATATGCAGCACCTAGGCTCCAACGATTTGCAGATATTGATGAGACCATCGAACCAAGCACGATCTTGGCATCGATTCAAAATTTTTTCGACAAAGAAAGTTAAGTTAATTCTAAACATGATCAAAAGGGTAAATCCCCGGTGTCTTTCCAGGCAAAGCTCGCTAGGCATGCATTTTATAGTCCACAACTTCTTCCAGGTAGAAACCTGTAAAGACTTTATCCAGCTAAAACGTAAAGTCAATACATGAAGGTTGATATGCTATCTACATATTTTCAGTTTTCACAAAAACATTCACAAAAAGTTCTGAGACATATTCACAAGTCGCAAATGCTCTCTGATCCTCTGAAATAGAACTGATCCAGCCTTAATAAAACTACATGTAATTTTGTCCCGGTTTAAATCTCGAAATATAACTCACACGATAGATCCTACTAACACCCTCCCATTAAACGATACTGGTATTTTCAACACTTGCATGAGGTGAAATAGGTTAAGAAGAGATTAAACGACTTTTTTCAACTGCATCATACCGTGATGAAGTTGCCGCTGTTTGGACCATCAGCGCGGAAATAGTTGTTTGCCTGGCTCCCCTGAATGCCCGCTGGAATCTGCTTAGTGACATCTACTGGTGGCACGGAAGCAGTAGACTTGGAAGAAGTTCCTTTACTAGTGTCAGGTACCTTGGTTGGAGCTCCTCCATTATGTTCAGTGGGTTTTCGAGCCTCTCCACTGCCAAAAAGGTAGCCCAGAGAACTTTGTCCCCCACCAGCACCAACTCCACGACCCATATTTTGTGACTTTAACTTTACCTACTTGAAACCAAGAGCCTGATTTAGCAATAACAAAAATACACTGTCAAAGGATTATTCAGAATAAACACAGCAGGAAATTCAGTCCAAGGAACTGCGTCAGCTAAACCAAAGCAGCACTTGCTATATCAACTGGACTCACCTTAAATAGCCATTAGGTAGGTCTACAATACAAAACTCGAGTCGAAAAAGCATCATGGCTGACACACGTATATATGAAGCTGAAAAAACCAAGTATTAGTACGTGATTGCTTAGAAGGTAAATAGTTTCTAATAAATGGTCTCCTCTCCTTTATCTTGTTAAAAACATCAGGGGATTAAATATTAATCATATAGCAATCCATTCCAGACAGCCATTCCAGAACGTTCCTTCCCTATGACTGGTTGAAATTTGACATAATGACTCGGTGTCCTCATGACATTAGTCACAACCATCAGCTTAATACAGCGGGCTTGGTTTACCAAGGAACAAGCTCCCACTAGTTGCATAAACACAAGAAACTGTGCTTGAGGATAAATTGTTAGTCATCATGCTATCATGATGAACATGCCTTCATTCACCTACCACAGGTTCATTGAGTGTCAAAACAATTTGCGATGAAATCTTGAACCTCAACTTCGGTAAAGAATAAAGAACAGAACAGGATTCAAGAGGTAAGAATGAATGAGCAAGTTTAGAGTAGACTGATCATCTGCACAATGTAATTGCAGCATTCAGAAAAGAAGAAAATGGAGCCATCACAAGTGACACCTTAGACAGAGGCACAATAAACAAGGAAACAACAGTTGCTGCAAAGAGTTCGCTCGACTCTGACTAACCGGAGGAACATTCGGCCGGTTATTAGCCTTAAGGAGTTGGTCACTTCACTACTGTGACAGCAAATGCCTTCACTAACGAAGCACATCAGCTTCAGATCTCCCCCCTAAACGTAAAATCACCCACTCCGAAGCATTTATCTCCAAAAAGCATCGTTACATGCAAAAACATCAGAAGCACGTGCTTCCCAGACCCCGAACACAGCATCATTACCGTAGACCAAGAACCCCACTTCGCAAATCTCAACCTTGACCAGGAAACCACCAATGTACCAGCAAGACTCGAAACGGGTTGCCAGATTAGGGCATTTTCTTCAAAGGGTCGCCCGAGCCGCAGATCCAAACGACCAATGTCGACCAAAAAACAAGAACCAGACGAAAACAACACCGACCCAGAACCCAAAAAACCAAAAAAAAAAACTGGAAACCCCACAGCCCTCTTGGCCTCAGGCAAGACGCAGGAAACATGCCACAACGCACGCGAAACCCATGACGCATTGACGGAAAACGGGAGAGAAGAGCAGCCCGCCTCACCTTCCTTCGCTTCCTCGCGTCCTGCAGCTCGGATCCGAAGCGAACGGGACCCAGCAACGAGAGAATGCCTCCTCCTCTTATTCAAAAAGATCCCCTGCTGCTGTAGTGCAGAGGGAGCTCACATGTTTTTTTGAATCGAGCTGCTGCGACTCTGTGTGCGAGAGTGGCTCTCCCGTCACGAGGGAGATAACGAGCGACTCCCGATTTCACGTCCGGGGTGGACAAAGGAAAAGCACACAAACATCAATCCCCCCCCCGCCCTGTTGTGGGGCCCATGGGCCCAAAACAAAAATTTGAGATATTTCCCTTTTCAAGTGTTGCCACTGGACAATAATTTCTGAATCGATGGTATTTCGAACGGACTAAAGGTAATCGGTTTCCTATCAGGTCCGGTCCCACCTTGAAATAGGAAATCGGAGACCTGACCCGAGGGACCAGTTTCCACTTTTCAAAACTGGAGACCGGACCGGACCGGACCGATTGATTCGGCTCCTGGACGGTTCAATGGAACTAATCGAGTTTAAAGAAGAGATTGCCTCGAACTCCACAAGAGTTTTTCGGGAAAGAACCGCTCGGTATCTGTATAGTCTCACTTTTTGGTGGCCGGGCGTCCCCCGACTGCAATAGCATGGATTAAACTCCGATGCACGTGAAAGAAAAGTGGCTGTAGGGAGTGGAAAACGGGACGGTGAGGAAATTATGCCACAACCATGTGATCACTGCAATGAATGGAGCTCTTCCTGGCACACCGATTCGAGTCACGGAAAGTGTCACTCACGTCGTTTATGTCTTCAACAAGTCCCCATACAACGTCACTATTCACTGCTGTTTAAGGAAAGACCGAAAAAGAAGAGAAGGCATGCATGAGAAATTTATAAAAATAAAAAATAAAAAACAATCCATCTAGGAGGTCTGGTTCCCGCCGAACACTAGTTTCACTTTAGGAACTGGAAGCCGATTCGTCACTTTTGGGAGTCGGACCTAACCGGTCGGTTCGTTTTCTTATTTATGTACTGAAATACACGATAAGTAATTTATCAAAATATCTACTTTGGAACCATCAAGTAAGCCATTTGTCATTTTTTAATTTGACCACTCCTCTCTTCATTCTCCCCTGGTATTTTAACCATCACGTCATCATTATTTTTAACTTCGGTTAATCGTTCCCATCTTTGTCACTCTTATATAGTGTTTCAAGTACACTAATTCACCACAGATTCTTCGAGTTTCAAAAGAACAAGAAATCTCATGTCACTTTCCTCTTCAATTTTCACTCCCCAACCTTTCGAGTAAACAAAAAGGGATTACATTTGTGTTGTAAAAGCTTCTAATTTCATTTTTCAAAGGTTTACAAGGTGAATTTACGAATTTTCTTTTCGTTTTGTCAAAATAATTTTGTTATTTGTAAAGATTGGGATATCGTTAATCTTTGTTCTTATTTATTTTGCTTTGAAGGTGGTTAAGGTTTTGAGTTGTCCAAATAAATGACGCAGATAGAAGCGATAACTTAGAAAACTCTTCCACGATTCGACTGGAATTCAATTCAATTTCATCATATCTGAATACAAAGCTGGACGTCCTTTTATAATGATAGGACTCCTAAAGATATCCGAATTAATGAAGATAACATCAAAGCAAATCAAATCTAATCTTATAAAATCAAATATAATCTTATCTAATAAAATCAAATCTAATCTTATCTAATAAAATCAAATCGAAATATTGATAATTCGAAATTGCCTAAAGTAAAAAAAAAACTGCCTAATCAGAAAAACTGCCGAGATTTCCGGCGATTACGGTGATCACATTCTTCAAGATAATCACAGGCTAACTGTTCTACATCATTCCCTCCCTCTTCGGAAAAACTCGCCCTCGAGTTATGATTAGGATAGAGGGGTGTATCGGGAGCATAATACTCAAATAAGTCTGCCACATTAAATGTAGAGGAAATGTTGAGATCACCATGAAGGTTAACTACATAGGCATTGTCATTGATCTTCTTCAGGATGCGGCAAGGACCAATCTTCTTGTGCTTCAGTTTATTATAGGTACCTACAGGAAAACGCTCCTTTCTCAGGAAAACCATTACCTCATCGCCTACCTCAAAAATTTTCAAACGTCGCCGTTTGTCAGCATCCTCTTAATACTTTGAATTAGAAGCAGCCAATTGACTAGCAACAGCAGCTTGGACTTCATTAATTCTGGTCGCCAAATTCTCCGTTGCGACACTATAGCCAGGAATCTTGGGCAAGGGAACCAAATCCAGAGTATGCTGTGGTGTACGCCCATAAACAACCTGAAAGGGAGATGTACCGGTAGAGCGGTTAACCGAGTTGTTGAAGGCGAACTCAGCAGGAGCCAGATACCGGTCCCACTGCTTAGGCATATCACTGCAAAGGTAGCGAATGATATCCGCCATAGTATGATTCACAACTTCCGTCTGACCATCCGTTTAAGGATGAAAAGAACTACTATACTGTAAATCAGTCCCAAAAAAACGCCATAAAGTACGCCAAAAATGGCTCAGAAATTTCGTGTCACGATCGGAAGTGATTGTCTTCGGCACACCATGGAGACGAACTACTTCACGAAAGAATAAAATTGCCACATGCGAAGCATCCGAAGTTTTCTTACAAGGGATGAAGTGCACCATCTTCAAAAACCGGTCAACCACCACGAAAACAGAATCTAAACTCCGTTGGGTGCGAGGAAGTCCCAACACGAAGTCCATCGATATGTCTACCCAAGGACCTGAAGGAATAGGCAAGGGGGTATAAAGACCAGTGTTCTGAGAGTGGCCCTTAGCGGTCTGACAAATGTAGCATTTATTGACAAATCGCCCCACGTCTCGCTTCAGTTGAGGCCAATAGTACCACTCCTCCACCAAGGCTACAGTTTTATCTCGCCCCAAATGTCCGCTGAGAGTACCACCATGAAGCTCTCGAATGAGTTGTTCACGCAAGGAACCACGAGGAATGCATAATCTATTGCCAAAGAACAAGAATTTTTCTTGAATTATCATATCGCCATAACAACTTGTTTCAGAACACTTCTACCATATCTCACCAAAATCATCATCCTCAGAATAAAGAGAACATAGGTGATCAAAACCGACAATATCAGTGCGCATGGTCACGAGTGTCGCAGCACGTCGACTCAGCGCATCTGCCACTTTATTTAAATGGCCTGCTTTGTGACGAAGCACAAAATTAAATTGCTCCAGAAAAGAAACCCATCGTGCATGCATTCGATTTAAGTGCTTTTGACTCTTGATATATTTAAGAGCCTGATGATCGGTGTTAAGAACAAATTCCTGCCGATAAAGATAGGATCGCCAATGCTTTATAGCTCGCACGACAAAGATAATATTCCTGCTCATATGTCGACCAACGCCGGCGAACTTCATTAAGTTTTTCACTAAAGAAGGCTATAGGCTTACCTTCTTGGGAAAGGACAGCGCCAATCCTGACGCCGGAAGCATCACAGTCCAGCTTGAACACTTTCTCAAAATCAGGGAGCATCAATACCGGTGCCGTGGAGAGCTTTTCTTTTATAAGAGCAAAACTGGCCGAAGCTTCATTTCTCCAATGGAATTTGCCCTTTTTTAAACAGTCAGTGATCGGGGCCATAATAGTACTGAAATCTCGAATGAAACGCCTATAGAATGTTGCAAGGCCATGGAAACTTCGAGCCTCGCCAACATTCTTTGGAACTGGCCAATTACAAATCACGGCCACCTTATCTACATCAACGTGAAGTCCATCCGCGCCAACAACAAAACCTAAAAACAAGAGGCGTTCTGTCATGAAGCTACACTTTTTCATATTAATGAACAATTTATTTTGCTGCAAGGTTAGTAGGACATCCCTCAAGTGCTCCATGTGTTGACGCCCATCCGGACTATATATGAGTATATCATCAAAGAAAACTACCACAAACTTGCCAATAAAAGGTTTGAGAACCTGAGTCATCAAACGCATGAAAGTACTAGGCGCGTTAGTGAGTCCAAACGGCATGACAAGCCATTCGTACAAACCCGCACTTGTCTTGAAGGCCGTTTTCCATTCGTCGCCAGGACGGATGCGAACTTGGTGGTATCCGCTTCGAAGGTCAATCTTCGTAAAAATCTGTGATCCAACAAGTCTGTCTAGCATATCATCAAGTCGTGGAATCGGAAACCTATACTTGACAGTAATCCGGTTAATGGCATGACTGTCTACACACATACGCATGGTGCCGTCTTTCTTTGGCGTGAGAAGCGCAGGAACTGCACATGGACTTTTGCTTTCACGCAAGAAACCCTTTCGAAGGAGCTCTCCCACCTGCTCCTGTAGAATCTGATTATCCTTCGGATTCATCCGATAATGCGGCAAATTAGGAAGACAAGCACCTGGAAGAAAATCAATCTCATGCTGGATATCCCTCAAAGGAGGTAATCCGTCAGGTAAATCCTCAGGCATAACATCACTGAATACCTTTAATAAGGGCTTAAGAATGTCGGGAACACGAACCACAACTTGCTGGTCGCCCTTGTCCACAATTATATACACCCCTTCACGCTTTTCGGATGTTCATCATAACCCATGCATTCTGCTTCTTCACAATCTGAGGGGAATTACTCTTCGGTCTCAAAGTAATTTTAGCCCTTTTCCACACAAAAGAATACGTATTCTCCCTAACTCGGTGTGTAGCATCAACATCATATTGCCATGGCCGACCCAGTAAAACATGACACGCATCCATCTCCACAACATCACAAACAATAGTATCTTGATATGATTTCCCGATCGAAATAGGTAAACGGCATAATTGGTTTACCTTAAGTTCTGCTCCCTTGCGTATCCACCCGATCGTGTAGGGCGCGGGATGCGGCTCCGTCTTTAGTTGCAAGTGATCCACCAAGGCATTTGACACTATGTTCTCGCAACTTCCGCTGTCAATAATGATATCGCATACTTTGCCGTTGACAGTACAGCGAGTGCGGAAAAGCTGATTCCGCTAGGTATCTTCTGTCCGCGGAGCAAGCAATAGACGACGCACAACACAATTAACTTGCTCGCCCACTTCATCTTCCACTCCCACTTCTTCTTCATTTTCCCAATCTTCCTCATACACATCTTCGTCATGTTCAACAATATTGGCCATTCTACGACGAGGACAATCGCTGGAATGATGGCCTAACTCGTTACACTTGTAGCACTTGATCGGT